CTGCTGGAAACGGGGATTTCTCTGTGCCGTGTGTTGTTTGGCCAACGTGTTCTTGGGATTTGGGGTCCGTAGGGGTTAATAACTCTTCCTCTTCCTCCTCCTCCTCAGTACGAGACGGCCCTGGAGGGCGAGGGCGCGGGAAGCCTTCAGCAAATGGCCTACCACACCGTGAACCGCCGCTACCGGGAGTTCCTCAACCTGCAGACCCGCCTCGAGGAGAAACCGGAGCTCCGCAAATTCCTGAAAAGTTAGTGGCCCTGCTGCCGGGCTGCCCGAAGCCCTGCCCTCCTCCGTGCCGTGTCCGCTGCCGCTTGTGCTAGTGCCTCGTTCCTCTGGATGTGGAGAGACCTGGACACCGGGAGCTGCCATAAAGCTTTGCCCTTCCTGGGAGGGAGGAACGGGATTTAGGGTGTCCTGCCCTGCCTGTGCAGGGCTGCCCCATGTGCCCGCCGATCCGGAGGAGCAATTCCCCATCGGCAGCCAATTCCAGTGCTTCAAAAGGAATCCCAGCTCCCGCTCGGGTGGCACCACTTGCTTTTGCAGTTTTGCAGCTTTGCTAGTGAGCAAAACAACGCGTAATTTGCGTTACAATGTGTAATTTGCACATATGTACTTTGCATGCGGGTAGGGTAGTGTTAGACATAGGCTTTCTTAAAGCAGTGTTTTGATTATGGGGGCCTTGCATTTGCAGATATCAAAGGCCCAAAGAAGCTGTTCCCTGATCTCCCGTTCGGAAACATGGACAGCGATAAGGTGGAAGCCAGAAAAAGCCTCCTGGAGTCTTTCTTGAAGGTGAGCTACCTGCTTCGTTTCACTTCATAGAGGAGGGAAGGCGTGAGGAGCAGATGCCGTTTTATGGGAGCGTGGAGCTCCCTGGTCCACAAGCAGCTTTGGGGATCGTAGCATATTGTGGAGCATCAGAAATCCATGGATGTGCAGGAGGGCGATGAGCTGGTAGCCACGGCTGTCTGAGTCGTGTGGCACGAGCAGGGAGCCTTTTCCAGCTGCGTAAAGGGAGCCGGGAAGCTGCTCCAGCTGCGTGTTCCCTTGCAGCAACTGTGCGCGGTGCCCGAGATCGCCAGCAGCGAGGAGGTGCAGGAGTTCCTCGCCCTCAACACTGACGCCCGCATCGCCTTCGTCAAGAAGCCCTTCGTGGTCTCCAGGATAGACAAGGTGGGCGAGGGGGGAGCTGGCGAGGGGCACCTAAACACTAACCTGATCCTAACCCGCTCCGCAGGGCCTGAGGTTTGGCATGGAAAACAGAATTGTCACCGGTGCCACCGCCGGCTTTTGCAGATCGTCGTCAACGCCATCGTGGACACGCTGAAGACGGCGTTCCCCAGGTCGGAGCCGCAGAGCCCCACGGAGGATCTCAGCGAGTCCGAGGTGGATGGAAAGCCCCAGGGGGAAGGGAAGAAGACAAACAAGTAAGAGCTGCTCCCCTGCCCCACGCAGCACCAAACCGGCTCCTCCGTGGAAGTCCCGACCTGCTAAACCCCACGTTGCTCTCGTCCCCCAGCTCTACTGCTTTTCTCTTTCAAAACCCGAGCGAGGGTACTTGAGTTCCTGTTTAGATAAGAGATTTTTCCAGGAACACTCTGTTTTTTACAGCAGTTGGCACTGAAGCTTTTCTTGCCTGCGGGTTTTTTTTTCCAAAGCAGCTGTGGGATGGTGGCACTTGCCAACAAAAGTTGCTCTTAAAGCATTGTTTTTTAGCCTTAAACACTCACATGACCTATATATGTAGTGAGTCACTGCAAGCACAGCTATAAGTTTGATGGCATCGGGCTGCTGCTGTTACAGATAATTTTTCTGTCTCCAGCATTATTTCAGGGCAGTTTTTGCAACGCTCAGAAGAAAAAAACATGTGATGACCCTGCTAATTTTTAATTGATGGCTACCTGGGGGTTCACTCCTGCTTTTGCCATGTGTTTTGCACGTGTGGTGGCAGTAGCCTGTCACTTTTGCTGCTTTTTCCCAGCAAATGTGTGAATATTAAAGGGTAGTGGTTGACGTCATTGCCTGTACATTGCGCTGCGAGCACCTGACGTTTGGTGTTGGTTGTAGTGACAACCCCACGGTGCTCATTGGTGGTTGTTGCCTTCCAGCAAAGGGAAAGGTTTCTGCATGAGCATGGCTTTTACCGGGAAAAAAACATGTTTTGCTAAAAATAGCCGTTTTGGACAAAGGAAAAAGAAAAGGGGGGGAAAAAAGACAAACCAAAAAAGTCCAAGTTTTGGAGACTTGGCTGAAAAGGACATTCCTTAGTGGTAAACAGACAACTTTACAATTTGTCCCCAAATCCAAAACGCCCCCTCTGTGCGTGTGTGTTTGTGCTGAGACCTGCATTTCACAATCTCGCCGGGGTTGGAAGTGCAGTGCTCAGAAACGTGCGGTGGAGGCAGGCGCTGGCGCCTTTGGTTTTATTTAACCAGCCCGTGGTCACGCTGGGGGCAGTTGTTTTTGTAAAAAAAAGGCCAAACCGGGCTGAGAAACTCATCCTTTGAGCGTGTGGAGCGAACCCTGTGGCCTCTTTCCCCTCCAGGTCCAGACTGAGGTTCCCATCCAGCAAAATCACGCCGGTGCTGAGCGCGGGGGAGGCCCACGACAGGATCGTGTACGGCCTGCGAGAGGGCAGCGCGGTAAGTCTGGATCCCCGTGAGGATCCTGCTATTCCTGGCCTCCTTGGAGCAATCCCGGTGCCCGGGGGTCGTGGCTGCCACTTGCTGCTGTGCCCTTGGGTAGAGCAAGGCGCAAACCAGGAGGGTGACGGTGGCAGGAGGCACCAATGCTGCTGCTCCTGCAGGTCTCCGGCTCCCTGTCGCTGGCTGCTATGGAATCCTTCATCCAGAAGCAGGAGAAGCTGCTGGAGGCGGCGCCCAGGGAATCCCAGGACAGGGAATTCTGCAGGCACCACGACATGGATGTGCCGGGCACGTGGCACCCGGACGCCGGTGACGGTGAGCGCGGCCTGCGGGTCATCCCTGCTCCCTCGTTGCTGCTGATGGAATCTGTATCCACGTGTGGCCCATCCGTCGGCGTGCCGAGTCGTGGCCCTGCCACACGATGGCAGCCTGGGAACACCAAGCGGAGCCTGGAAAACGTCCCGGTTTTGCCAGCCCTGTGCGTGCGCCGGGATTAGTCCCTAGTCGTAAAATGTTGTCGCTGCACTTGGAGCAGCCGTATTCCGGGGTAATGCACCCTTTGGTAGCGGAGACAGGGCCGTTTGGGTGAAAGAAGGGATGAAAAGGAGCAGCCCGAGGGTTGTTTCCCCGAGGTTTGCGCAGGCTCCGAGCCGTCGTCCTCATCTGACCCTCCTCTTCCTCCTGGCAGACTCGGAGACGGCTTTGGCTGACCTGGCCCTGGAGCTGCTGCGCCTGCTTCTCGCCGACCACTGGGGCTGGCTCTGCACGGACAACATGCACAGGGTCCTGGACCTGCTTTTCGGGACCCTCATTCAAAGGTGAGGCCTCAGGCTCCGTGCAGTTTCCTTTAGCACCACGGTACATACATGCAAATAACTTTAAAGCAGGTAAAATGGGATTATAGTATAAAATGGACAGATTGTAGGTAATCCCATGCCTCTGCGTGGTCAGGCACCCGCTGAACACATTAGCAGGGA